CAGTGGAGCGGCTCACTCCATAGTGTCTGGCAAGGCTGGCACATGACATACCAGCCTGCAGCATGCCAATGGCCCTCTCCCTTGCTCCTGGTGACATTTCTAGGCATTATGGAATGCACAGAAAACTGACTAAGTGTGGCCTTTTTCTTGCAGTGACCTAAGCTTTGAACTAAGGCCTTTTTAAAGGTGACCTGACCAGGCATTGTTCCACCTGGACCTCGTTGGGTAAAAGTGCACCTAACGAGCTTTCATGTGATTGGCAAGTTGCAATGCCTCACTGCACAAGCTGTTTTGCTGGTCAGAGGGCTTAAAACAAATTGACCACTTTTTGTGAAAGTACATAAGCTATAACTATAGTATGTTGCGTTTCTTTTTTCCATCAGCATATTTATATATAGAGAGAGTTCTTTACTATCCCCAATGGGGCAATTTGTTTAACAGCTGCAGTGCTGGTGTACAGACAGACAGAAAAAAAACATGACAACAACAACAACACAAATTTACATACATATTTGCATAGACAATCAAGTGTTAAGGAACGATATGGCTACAGGTTTTGGTGTTGGGGAGTCGGTGTCTGCGTTCTGATAGGAGTAACTGGAAATCATTAAACAACGGCTTTAGGGGTCTTTGTCTGTGACGACTAGCTGACTAGTTGACCTGTCTGTGATTGTCCTGCAGCCTCCTCGGATAACCTGGCACGGCTGTGGTGTGTGGAGACTGGGGAGATCAAGCGGGAGTATAGCGGGCACCAGAAAGCAGTGGTGTGCCTGGCATTCAATGACAGTGTGCTGGGCTGAAGATAGACGCATCCATTCAGACCAGTCTTGGCAGAGAGGGTTGGCCCAAGCATATATATGAGCATGTGCAGTGCAGAACCAGGTCTTCAGAACATAAGATCTTATTCAAAATTGTTGTGGTAAGAGGGTGACTCCTCTTGTAAAATAGACCTGGGTACCTGGTTCTCTCTTCATTCCAACGGAGGTTGATACAGAATTGCACCCCCACCTCTGAACCAGTGACCCTCCATTGCGGCCCGTACTCTTAACCAATGAGCCTGAGTTACTCCCCCAACTTTTAGCCAGTTAGCCTGATTTGCGCCCCCAACTCTTAACCAGTGAGCCCAAATTGCACCTCCCAACTCTGGACCAGTGAGACTGCATTGCACCCCAACTCTGAACCAGTGAGCCTGCATTGCACCTCCCAACTCTGGACCAGTGAGACTGCATTGCGCCCCAACTGTGAACCAGTAAGCCTGCAGTGCACCTCCCAACTCTGGACCAGTGAGACTGCATTGCGCCCCAACTCTGAACCAGTGAGCCCGAATTGCACCTCCCAACTCTGGACCAGTGAGACTGCATTGCGCCCCAACTCTGGCCCAGTGAGACTGCATTGCGCCTCCCAACTCTGAACCAGTGAGCCTGCACTTGTGATCAGCAGCTGTTTGCAGGAAGAACAGAAGAGTAACATTAGAAACTATAATTTGTTTAGCCTTAATTGAAAGGTAATTGTCATTTTACTGTAACATTTTACTGGACTGTCCAATACAATGCCATACATCTCTGATAATAGCTCTATATCAGTGTTTCACATTAGAGATATGTCAGTTTATAGTCAGCTAGTGTGCATTGGTTGCTGTGGAATGGAATTGGTGAATCCTTTAATGATGATCTTTCAAAATGTATTTATTCCACATATTTGTGACAAAGATGGCATTTTAAACTGAGAGTTACTACAGGGTTACTTTACTTCCTTAAAAATACAAAAATGTATTACCTTTACATCCGTTTCTTTAAATGAATGTTGTTTTCACCAAACTATTGAAACATGTTGACCTGTAATAATTCAATTAATGAAATTTAGAACAAGTGTCTTTGAATAATTGGTCTCGTACTCTGCTGTTTGTGCGCTCTTCAAAACACCCAGACAGACACCAAAGTGGTGTCTGACATGAAGGTGTTTTATTGACACCCAGGACAAGAAATGCGTGCAGTACCACGCAGTACAGCTCGTGTTCATCATATACGCATATACCCACGCAGGCAATAAAAAAGCTACTACATAAATTGTTTTCAGAAGCCGCAATGTACGTCACGGGTATGCTGTCGGCGCTGTGCGCTTTGTTTCTGAAAATAATTGATGTACAGTGCCACAGCACTGTGCTTGACGAGTCCCCATTTTCTTTTTAAATGTAGATTGTCGTCTGTGTGTGAGCTGAAAGGCTGTTAGTGCAGCAGTCCCAAACCAAAGCCCCACTGCCTGCTGCTTTTTGTCCCTGCTGAGCCATCAGTTATGTATCCTGTATATATTTGAATGAATCATTTGCATCATTTTCAGTTACTCAAAAGTTGCAAATTTGAAGATTTAAATAAAATTGCTTAGGAAATGTAGTAGTTAGCTAGAGGCTTCTAGTAGTATTCTATTCAAATGATTTATTGGCTCTGATTAAGGAGATTATTAGTTCAACATGGGTCTTAATATTTAAGTAACTGAGAACTCAACTGAAATAAAAACAACAGACAGTAAGGTCACCAGGACTAGGAATAGTTAGACAGCTTTTTGTGTCTTGTCTTTGCGAGGTATGATAGGCTGTGTTGGGCAGTTTCTACTTTTAAAGCTCCTGAAATGACGGGATCAACAAGAAGCTTGGGATCGCCTGCAGGGAGTATTAAAGTAATTTCCTGAGCACCTGATGTTCCACCTTTGGGTGGTGCTCTGTGCTCTATAGGGTCACGTGGCCTTTACCTGGGCCCTCTCTCCAGTTACTGCTGCTGCTTTCCAGGAATCTGCTTCCAGGAATATACGTGTAAAAAAAAATGGACACAATGTGGGTGCGATATGCATTAATCTTGTTTATTACAATCTTTTTCCATAGTTTATAAGATCTGACTTGAACCGTGACATCCCATGAAAATAAAATAGAGTTTTCACGCAGCCAGTGGATGTACAGTACTTGACCTTTTGATAATGCACTCCTATAGATCATATCCGGTTAATAAGCATAGGTCAGCCAAGCCTCTCGGGTATATGTGTGTTATTTTGGCAAAACAGGAAAAGAAATCATGTGACGGTCCACTGCAGGAGTTTTGAAAGGCGGGTGTTTATTTTACAGCCACCGAGTGGTCATGCGGGTATCGACCACATGAAATAGTTCCACTTTCTTTCTCGTCCTCACCGAGGGGAGAGGGCAGCTCTTCTGCTGCTCCTTTGTCTGCCAGCCTAACTAGGTCGGGTTCCCCCAGGGTTCAGCGAGCGCTTCTGGCAGTCCGCAGTGAGGAGGAGAGCCTTGGTCCCAGGCTGCAGTGGGATGTGGACTCAGTCCCTGCTCACTCAGGCAGGTAGTAGAAGCACACGGAGACGCAGACGTTACTGGGGAAGCATATATCGATGCAGAAGTAAATTAGCCTTTGTTTTCCTGGGCCTGTGAAAACAGACAAAGGGAAAGGCATCACTCACACTTCCTCAGACGGGATCTAGGCCAGAAGGCAGTCCCATCCTTCAGCCCAGAGTAACTTCAGCCTCAAGAACAAAGTTGTCCTTGTTATTTACAGGATCACCTCAGAGGACGCGCCAAAAAAGTGCTGCTCCACTGCTGTATAATGTTCCTGCCTTGAAAGGGCAGTCAGGAAGATAAAGGATTCCTCCTGAAATGTTTCTAGTTCTTTTTACCTTTCTGCCTGAGTGTATTCATCTTTTGGTGGGTAGGATCTGAGCCTAGGATTGCGGGTTCAAGACCGATTCTGTAACTTTAAATTACCCCCGTTGCTCCATTTAATTCAGCGTTCTAACTAGGTTACTGCACTCAAGGGTGTGTTCAATCTGTGCTGTGATCTCCAGTGTGGCGTCTGGCTGGAGTCTCGGACTCTGGGGTCATGTAATGCTATGAGGCTTGAGAAGGACGCTGACCCAGGCTGGCTGTGTTTCCACACGGCAGTGACCTGTGGTCTATGGATGCTTCAGGAATGACAAAGGGGTGGATGAGCTGGAAAAAGACCAGAAGTGGTGGCTTTTTAATCGAGGGAGGTTTGGGATCAGTGGGCGAACAGCTGGCCTATCCTCTCACCATCAGCTCGGCGAGCCCAGTAGATGGGGCCGTGCTGGCAGAGGGCTTGCAGGGGCTCCTCCAATGTCATGGCATCTACTCCCGAGCCCCCCAGGACCCCCAGAAACTCCGTCTGCCATCGGGTCTTGTTGCCTGGGAGCCAGAAGTGATTGACCTAAGGAAGAGACAGAAGAGAGTCGCAGTGCTCAGACACTGGGGGTCGGGGGGCCTGAAACTGGAAATGCGACGTCTGTTTGAGAAGGAAACGAGCTGCCAGTTTTTCCCAGCTTAAAAAAAGAAAATGTTAATGAATAAGAGGCAATTCCCCAGAGGTGCTTGTCAGACGTCTTTAGATAAAAAACTGTTTGATCAGTCTATAAAAAAACATGCAGCACGATCACTGAGCTGTCGATCTGAATTTGAGCGCACTTAAGGTTTTTTTTACACCAAGTGGATTATTTTTGTTGGACATTCAGTTCCATTTAATCCGGTGCCTAGTCACCGCGGCTCTCGCAATATAGAGTGGTACATGTTGTTTGTGTTATACCAGACTGTAGTACAACTGGACCAATTATAAAACTAGAAAACAAGATGGAAATAAATGTCTTGTGGTGATTAATAAGGGTCAGTGGAGGCTGCTGTTGATCTGGCAACTAGCAGAGTTTCTTTGGGAGGGATGTGAATGGATGGGCTCCAGGCTGTGTTAAGAGGAGTACCTGGAGAGGGACGAAGAAGCGAGCTCTGATTAAGTGAACCTCCCCAGAGAGTAACTGGCCTGTCCCCAGGGCTCAGCCGACACAGCGCAGTGTCACAATCGCTCCCACCTCATTCAACCCAGCACCCAATTCACCCTAACCGGGCAATTACTCCTGTCCGGGAATAAAACTATTAGAGGAATTTTTCCCCTTTTCTTTTTTTTCTCCCCTTCTTCAAAACTGTCGCACTGCACAGAAGGTCCTTTCACATCAGTCAGCCCTGCACTGTTAGGCGTGTCACAAGAACCCCCAAGCGGCCGGTTTGACCGAATTAAAGGAGAGGAGCTGGCCGATTTCAGCTCGGGAGCTGGCCGATTTTTGAGCTCCACTAGCCCAGTGGGTCCCACTCCTGGTCTTGGGGTGACCTCCCCCTTGTCTTTCAGTTTCCGTTCTACTCCAGTTCTTCACCAGTGGGTAATAGATCTCACCCGCCTCTGTCAGAGAAATCTTCAAAATCGTGTCTAGCTCGTCTAGAAGTGGGTTGGTATGTGTCACTACAGGTTTTAAGCTGTACCAAATTCCGACGCTCAGAACTGGGGTCATAGGTCACTCTGTGTCTCCTAAAATGCCACCAGACTGACCTCTGCAAAAGGAAATACAGTAAACCACCTTGTGGGCACGTCTGGCACATTGCCAGTCCCACCTGTGATTGTCCGTCTCAAACTGACCGCCTCTTGAGATCAGTTTAGTGAGAATTCACATGGAATTAAAATATTTATTGACTGGACATGGTGAGATTAGTCGCAACCTGCTTGGCTCTGGGCTGACCTCCTGGCCAGAGGATGAGGAGGCTGGGACCCCACCTTAGAGTGAGGAGAGACCAAGGGGCAGCTGCAGAGGGGGTGGAGGAGAGATTGTTCTGTCTGACAGTTACTGCTTTCTGGAAACAGTGTCAGGAATGACTCTGAGCTGAAGTGAAAGAGAACTGGGCTGCTGTCAAGGAAGCACACTCTTAAGCACAAGGAGAGCACAGACTGCTTCTGTGTGCTCAGGCTGCTGTAAACCACACGTGAAGTGGAGTAGTTAGGTGGCTAAGGAGATGGTAGTGCTGTTGTTTTTTCTTACAGATTTTCACACAAGCAGAAACATAAAGATTAGAGAGGTCTCTTCTCCAGTAAATGGAATGGAAAAGCACCCTAAAAAATGATTATATGAAAGAAAGCCAAACAAATATCAGCAAGGCCAGAACTGAGAGCATTCATTCTGCAAGCTAAAACACCGTAGCTCCTGATATTCCACTCCATTAACTGCAGCGCAGCAGTGTGTACAGAATGGTCTCTTACATCTCAAGAGCTGCACGGTGTTTTTTTTCTTTTTAGCAGGGACTGCAGATAAAGTCCAACAGAGTCTCCATTGTGTGTGTGACGTGCTGTAATGAGATCCGGGAGGGAGATGGCAGTGGGATCGGGTGTACTGTACAGACCAGGTCGGGCTTACCGGAGTGCTCTTTCAGTGTCCTGCTCTAGCATGCTGTCTGCCGCTCTGTGCTTTGGGCCAGGAGACTGGAAGAATAAGCTTCTGCTTAATGGAGGGGCGGAGGGTGGGGCTTAGGTCTGCCCTCCACTTACAGGTAACCTATGTAAGGAACCTGCAGAAAGTCTATTGATAGTGCTGTGACTATAGACCACACACACTGCTTTCTACTGAGGGGCTTTGAGTGCTGAAGTCTGCCCTCTGTGAAGCAAACTGGAATGTCAACATGGGTGGATCCTCTGTGGCTCAGGATCTGCACCTTTGGCTGGAAGGTTGCCGGTTCAAATCCCGGGGCCGGCAGAGGAATCCTACTCCGTTGGGCCCCTGAGTAAGGCCCTTGCTCCAGGGGTACTGTGTAAATGGCTGACCCTGTGCTCTGACCCCAACAGCTTGTAGCCTGATCCTGTCAGGTCTCAGCAGTCAGCACCACCAGTGTACTGACCCCTTATTTGACCTGATAATAGGTTTGATCTGACCTCATCAATTTGTGCTTAGTTTCTAAACATGTAGCATTTGAACTACTGGGATTCATAAGTAACTTAAGATCTCCAACCTCAGACAAATAAAATAAAAGGTCCAGCCAAACCTCTCGTTGGTCCTGTTAAGGATTCATTTAAGTAAAGCGCTCGGCTGCAATGTGGGTGTCCCAGAACCTGGACTGGAGACCTCTGCTATGAGGCATACCAGTTTGCTGCTGTAAGTGATGTTGGCGGACCAGTAGGGGGCGCTCTGCCCTCTGGAACACAGTTAAAAAAACAGCAATCCTGTATGGCCACCAAGGACGCTGTGCTTTAGGAGGCCCTGTACCTGAGACAAGCTGTCCAACTGAAGTCAAACCCAGGACCAAAATGTGTTAAATAAGCCCACCTCCACACACCTTGTGGTACCTTATATTTTGATAGGTCGATTTCTTTAATACGAGTTGCGATCTTACCAACATACCTTGTGTTGGGACATGTTGAGGAGGGTGTGTACGTTTTCAAAATCGGACGTCTCCATTTTTTGCAGGAAGCAGGCATCCCGGCTCTCTGGCTTGTAACATATTAAGCCCTGAACAGAAACCAAAAACAAATAAAGATTCACGAGAAACTTCTCGCGTGAAAAATGCCCCATCCCCAATCTGGTATTCGACTTTCTTTATCTAAGTGTCTCGCATCAATGGACTGGAAAGTTCCCTATCAGTGCCACAGCAGCTGGGCTGGTTTCCATGGAGATAAGTGAACAGACCCCCCCGCATTGCAGGACAGGAGGCCAGTCCATAATGGGGACACAGGAATGCTGGCCCCCACTCACACAACTGGGGGGACTGGAGTACTGGGCTAAGGACCCTTACAGCAGCAGTGTGCAGCGAGGACGAACCCACAACCCACCAGTCTTGATCCCAGAGACTCACTTGTACAAAGGGTCTTGATGACACTATTTTTACAGAAAGACCTCTTTGTGGACAACTGGAAATCTTTCCCAGATTTAGAAGTATCCTAAATGGATTTTTGGGGGGGCTTTTACTTGGAAAAAAAAAATCCCCCATCATAGCACAGAAGTAAGGAGAAAGCCTCACATTTTTCATGTCGAACAGCACAGCGGAGGTGAGGTTAGTGTGCGATGTCACGTAGTAGGTCACCACCTCATGGCACCTGTCGACGAGGGCGGAGTGGTTGAGCAGGGCGCCGCTCTGCTCCTCCAGAGTCACCCTCACCACCTGCAACACAGACTGCGACACGGGAGACGCCCGGAGACGGTTGCCTTCTTCTGCCTCTCTCAGGCCGCCGTCGTAGCCATCAAAGCCGACCGGGGTGATTTCGGGTTTTGTGCGAATTCGAGTTCTTAAATATCCGGCGTTCCGCAGGATTTGGCCGGGGCATGAAAACTTGTGAGGATGCATCGCAGTGCCCAAGCACTATAGTTCCGAAAAAACTACAACACCCCGGACTCGATCTCCACCGTTATCACTCTTAAACCCGCTCGTCGATTTCTATAACGAACAGTGCCTGCAAGACACTTAAATATACCTAGACACCTAAGCAGACACCTAAATACAGCGCACGTCCAAAAGTTTTTGTTGTGCTATTAAAACTGTATTAGTTGTAATATTTATTTATTCATCACCGTACTATTTTTGCACTGTTCCCCCAATTACTTTTGTCCTGTTGTATTCTTTTCTCTGCGTATTTGCACAGTTTTGATTACACTGTTGTTATTGTGTTACTGTCTATTGTCTTATTTTCTGTTCTATTTATATACTGCACCTGAGAGACTAATGAGAAACACTTTTCACTATCCTATGCACCTGTGTAAGTATAATGACAAATAAAGTTGAATTGAATTTAATAACTTCGGAAACGTGAAAGCATTTCAGGATTGTTCTGAAAGGCCGTAGAGACGTGAAGCTACCCCCACATACACACACACACAAGTTCAAGCAGGTGCACAGTTAAGTGCGTGAGATTAAAACTCAATAAGTTTTCGCTTTTTGTGTGCAAGAGAGCCGGGAGAAGGTGGTTCTTACCTGCGGGTGCTTCCTTTTGACTCCGAGCAGCACCATAGCGCTGACGGCTATGGCCAGCAGGAGCAGGACGACACCCACAGAGCCCCACAGCGTCCTGTGAGGAAAAGGGGACTGCAGAGCTGGGCTCCTGTCCTGTTGCGGGGGGTGACAGAGGAAATTTACTGTAGTCCCAATTTGTGCGGTAAAGTTAGTGCTCCGGCCTGGGGCCGTTCTCCCTCGGATGCGGTCAACTTGAGACTACATCTACCCGCGTTTCGCCTCTGCCTCCCAGCAGTTCCCAGTCCGGGGGTTTCTAGGGGGGCGGTGTCCGATGAGCGACTACCCCGGGCACAGCGATGGGACGCTGGGCGCGTCTTTTCCGCAAGACGCGGCTCACATCACCGAAGCAGTTCGCCCTTCTCAGATTCGAAAAATCCTAACGCCCTTTCCCTTCGCACAGAAAAGTATTTCGCCGATGCAGACTACGTCGATCAAATCTAAACGCGAAGAGTGGGGATAGACCAGACGCTCATAAAATGACAAAGATTTTGTAGGGAAGAAAAACGGTTTCAGACTTTCCGTTGACAGAAATGCTGTTAGAAGTTACATATGAAGAGCAGCATATAATGCCTCTAGAAATGTAATTAACAAACTCATGTGAACACATCTGTATTTAAAGTAGTTCATAAATGAAACTCGTCGCTGCAATGGCCCAAATCTATCCTGGAACTTCAGCATAAAGCATTTCTGTTTCGGAAAGACAGATTTCTGTGTCTTTTGTGGTTTCTCACCGAGCACTGGGTGTCTCGGGGGCCGGCCGCCGACCTGCTCCAGCAGCCCTTCATCCTGGGTCCCGCTGCTGCGCTCCGCTGCGACCGCCTGAGCGAGAACAGCCGCGCACCTGGGCGGCTATAGAGCCGGGGCGCGTCCCCCTGGCCGCGGCCCGCGCACACGTGATCGCCCCGGGACCGGACCCAGGTCCAGCATCCCAGACAAAGGACAAAGAGGGCGAGAGGGAAGTCCGGGAGAGGACAGGGGCTGTCATCGGGGAGAAGGAGATAAGAGGCTGCCAGCCGGCGACTGACCAAGGTGACTCGAAGGAAATGCACGGTATCGTACAGGCAGTGTATTGTAAACGAGCCAAACAAATTAAATGAGCACCAAGCTCCCCTGTTGCACTGTACCCCCAAAACAGGCGAAAAAAAAATTAACCCTCCAATAAATAACGTACTAAAACCCATGAAAAAGTTTTCCAGTGTTTTTTTTTTATTGCATAGACTCTAAACAGGAGTGAATTGTTTAACACAAAAGGATATTTAGGACATGACCCGACATACAGTATTACCGCTGCTTTGTCCAATGAGTCACAGGCATAGCTTGTTTTGGTTTTATAGCATGACAAAACAGATAATTATTGCACTTTGGACAACTATTTCACAGTGGTCTGTAAAAACTCTGTTGCCCGTCTTCGTTTGCATAATATATTACTCTATTCTAACGCATTTTTCTTCCTTTGTTCCACATGTCCAGTGGCTGTGGTTTCTGCTCAACATGATTTACAGTACTCTACAGTAGTCACACAGTGATCATCAACAGGTGTGTGTTTAACATGTTGTACAGAGCATGGACATTAAAGTACTTGGAATTAGTGAGGGGGCTTGAACCGAAACAGTGTAAAACTTTAAGTTACATATTATTTTTGGCAATACAGGCATAGCTGTATCCTATTAGAGGTTTTCTTAGTTGGAGAACTTCTCGAAAGTGCTTTAGTATGACCAAAGATTCAACCTGGGAACTTCTGCAGCAGGGTACTGGAGGGTCGGTGCTTTTCTAATGGTTTTCAGTCAATCAGGGCTCTTAAAGAGCCGAATCAGGTCATTATCGGCTTACCTGGACTAATCTAACAGTATCTTCCAGCTCTTCAGGTGCTGCTGTCCAGGGACAGAAAGCCTGCAGATATGCTACCTCCCTCCTAATGCATCAAAACTGCTGGATTTCAGCCTCTTATGGAAGAAAGGGACCAGCAGGTGTCACTACACCCTTCTGGAAGTCCCAGTACAATAAGCGACACTGTGCTGCATTACTATAGGTGCTGCCCTTCGGATAAGGCAACCCAAGGCTCCAGTCTACTGTGGAGTGGGGCTGCTGGAGTATACGAATCGCAAATTAGTGGAGTGCAGCACTTCAGTAGTGGACAAAGTGGGTCCCCTCCTATTTGTAAAGTGCTGTGAGATCCTTTGGGAACAAAAGTGCTGTCTAAATATAATTCAAATTAATCAAAATGGACGTGTATGTGAAAACTGACCAACTAGCCTACAGTAACTCACACGCCAGCTGATGTTTAACTTAGACATGGTCCAATTCTCACATCAGAATGATCAGATTAAACACCCGGTCTGAACACTTTGTAATTTACAAGTAACAGTGTGAAAGGAATCGAGTGAAATGGACTCCAACAGCAAATACAGTTGCTGATGCCCATGCGCAGGCCTGTGAGAGAGAAATGCAGTTTCTCCTTGGCACATGCCATATAAACAAGTTTGTTTTTAACATTGCTCATAAGGAATGACTGGATTTTTTTCAACAGTACTGTGAACCTGGGGTAAGAAATAAAAGAAAAGAGTACTTAGACATTTTGTTTAGGCACAAATCTCCATTTGGAGCGTTTAATGTAGACCAGATTGAATGGAGTAGCTTGTGCAAATTATTAACATTCATAAAGCAAAAAAAAAAATGACCACAAATTGTTAGAGAAGAAAAACATTTTTGACTTTCAATTGACAAAAATGCTCCCCAAACATTTCCAATTGCCACGGCA